GATGGTTGAACTTGAACAAAAGAAAAGAAAAAGAATTTGGTTTCTTTATGGTTTATTATTTATTTACCATCAATGCCAGAGATGCCAACCTCTACGATTTTATCATACTAGTGGCTACAAATTTTAGCCTAAATTAGCCAATATGTTTCACTAGAAAATAGAAATTCTACGAAATTGGAAGAAAATTCATTAAATTTCAAAATATAAAGACACAAAGATACATTTTCGTTGATTAAATACATTTTCATCAAAAAGAGACAAGAAGAAATGTAATGCTGATAATTTGGGAATCTGCTTTTGGAGGTATGTGAAATTAAAGCTTCACTCTTGATTAGTGGCATATTATCTTTCTCAGAATCCATCATGATTTTAAGTATTTAGTTGACTACTAACTCTATGGTCAAAATACTAATTTTGATCATTGAAAGTACTATTTGCAACACTTTGGGGTTGGCATTTCTGCATCATCAGCATTATCAACCATTCAACAAACAACAGATTTTGTCAGATGTCAATATTGTCATAAAAACAAACATGACTCAATGCCGGTGACTGACTAGAAAAGTGAATCAAAACATTCAACCAGGAGGAATGAAACCTCCACTCAAACTTTTGCATCTGGGGCCGTACGACTACACAAAGAGCACCTTGTTGCCATGACATGGCAAAACGACAATCCTAACAACCTTTAACTCCAAGAGAGGTAATTGGAGTAAGTAGAAAGATACATTATGCTCAGTTTCATTTAATGATTTTGATGACAAATATTCCCAGTGAATACAGACTAGAGTGTCACTGTCAATACAACAGTCAAATTTAGAGAGTGTACTGGGCACTACTGAGTATAACACAACTGTTTAAAACAGTAGGACGGTGGTAGAAACATATTAAACAATGCTTAAGTGGAAAAGCAATGCAACTACAAACTTTACAAAGCAAGTATTCTTTGGCACAATGTCAGTCATTTATAGTTTATAAATTGCAGTATGGAATGTTAAGTTTTCATCCTTTGACAATTAGCAGGGCTCCACATAATTCAGGGGGTAGCCATACATTATGAACAGTCCTTTATCATAACAGACTACTGTCCTCACTGGATCACCTCTGATCTATTAGTAATGACTATTACCAATACAGTTCCATGTTTTTTCGCAAGAATACAAGCAAGTCAATGTTGTTAGGGCTGAGTCTTGCTCTCTTTTTGTTGACGAGATTACCTGCCAAGCTAAACACCCTCTCAGATGGGACTGAGGATGCTAGTATAGCCAAATACTTTCTTGCCAAGCCACTTATGCGAGGAAAATACTGAGCATTTTTCTTCCACCAATCTAAAAGGGTTAACTGCCTGTCTGTGTGAGCTGAGCCAAGATACCTTGCTACCTCTTGAAAGACTACATCTTCTCTTGGTTTGACAGTTTCACCTGTACACAATACATCCTCCAACCACTCATCCATGTCTGCTGCTGGACAAATTCGCTTTGCAGGTGAAAGTGTAAGTCAAATGTCCTCCTCCACAGATATGACCTTACCATCCTCATCATGTATGCCAAGGTTTGGCAAGTGTGGGAGAACTTCCTCTGTACCTGGTTCCTTCTTAATCATGTTAATGCTGGCAATGTTCACACCCCCAGCTTGCTTAAGAAGAAGGTCATGCGCAAATTCCCGGTCCTCAGCACTGAGAAATTCAAGGTCCTTTGCAAAAGGGTTCAATACACATGCCATGGATATCAGCTCTTTGTCACCACTGGTTCTGTATGCCATTTGCTGTCTGATAACATCTTTCACCTTCTTAATGACATCAGGATCATCATCACTTGTCTTCATGCAATTATCAATCTTGATAATGATAGGCATGATTTTTTGGAGTGTTGGTTTTTTTCGGCAGAAACGATAGTGGTAGCTTTTTCAAACGGTTGCAATATTTTGATCAGTTTCTCGGCAAGGGTGTGTTCTTCAAAAGAAAACACACATGCTTTGATGGTATTCTTAGCACTGTTGCTGAGAGTACTCTCATTCGCCAAAGCCATTATGGCTGGAGTCTGTTCAACCAAACGAGCAAGCATTGCATGTGTACTGTTCCACCGAGTTGGGACGTCAGCGATAAGCTTGTGACCCACTAGTTCACTGCTAAGAAGCAGCTGTTGCTTTATCGTCAATGCATCAAAAGCGCTGGATGACTGATGAAAGAAAGTAACAAGGGTTCGGCTTTTCCCAATCAGTCTTGAAACTTCAGGCACTTCCAGGCTCTTCTTCACAACCAAATTAATTCTATGCCCATAGCAACCAAACCTAACCCACTCCAAAATCTCAAATGCCTTTTTTTCATTTGCAGCATTATCTGTGACTGCTGTTGGCTGGTGGAGCTTCCATTTCTGTTGCGTTTCTTTTAGACTTGCTGCAATGTTTTCTGATGTGTGCCTCCCTTCAGTTTTCTTAGTTTCCAAAACTACACTTTTCAGTTCCCACTCTGGGGTGATGAAGTGTGCTGTCACAGTGTTGAAGCTTTCGGTGTTAATGCTGGTCCACCCATCATGGGTAATAGAAACATCTGGGGACCTCTCAATGTCCTTTATGATATTTTTTCTGCATTATGTCCTTCTTCCTTTGAAGCTGTGTGGTGACAGCTTTCCGTGAAGGAATGTCATACCTATGAGAAACAAGAGATAAGACCTTAAACATGATGAATCAATTAACAGGTGAAAAATGTTGTCATACTTCTTTTTAAAGATTTTAAGTACACATTAACCAATACATTGAATTTGTAACTTGTAATAGTTGCTTTTGTCCAACTAAACTTTTTAAAATTATCTTTCTAAATGAATGTTGTCAGAAATTAAACGGAAGGGACTGATGAGAAGACTATGGATCAATCTCAAGACATTTCAATGCTCCTTGAGGAAAAGTCACATTGTTCCGAACCAAACAATACCCAAGCATGTAACTTTCCTTCATAAATCTCTTATTATCAAGTTTTTAAATTAGCAGGGTGATAAAAATATATAATACCTGTTTAAATTGAAAATTTTAAAGGACAACCAAACATTAATTTCCTATGTGACCAGTCAAAGTGTTTTGATTATATTACTAACCTTGGGTCCAACAGTGCCACAAAGGCTCTAAATTCTTTGTTGTCCACCAAACTCATCGGCAATAGCTTGCGCACAAGTAATTTCATCAGAACTTCAGTTATATCATTTTGTCTGTTGGTTGACATCCGCGCTGGTTGTGAAAAGTTCCCATCAATTTTAAGCTGAACTGTCCTTGGTTGAGCAGGTTTTGTAGCATCAGCGGCTGCATGGTCGTGGCTCAAGTGAAATAGTAAGCTGGTTGTGTTTCCTGAAATTACAGTGAAATCTGTTTTTATGTTTTAACATCTTGATCTAAAAAAGACAAATATCAATTATTTTCTTGATTCCCACAAATAAAAAATCTCTAATCATTTATGAAATCAACTTTCATGATATATTTCATATATTTTATTTTTTCAATATATATCCAAAAGTGACTGACATAGCAAAATACTGACCAAAAAAGGGTACTCAAGTTTTAACCTGATTTACGATAATTCATGTGACAAGGCCTACATGTCATTCGTTTTCAATAGCGTTTCAATTTGTATTCTGTAGTTTCAAATTTCATACTGATGGTAATAGACTTATGAGTATGGACGGATTCATATCATGCACATATAATATGATAATACAGTAAACAACGCATTCATAACATCTTTACTTTTCTATTAGACCATTCACTTGATAGTATCACGAAATTATGAGTAGATACCTTTGTTTGCGTATTCCTTTCGACAAATACGACAAATCGCCTTTGACATGTCAAGGTTTTCTTTCGTTGGGGGCCCCTGGCATTTCTTCCAAAATCCGAAAGACTTCCAAACGTTGGATCTGGCTTTCCCGCCAGGGTAGTTGAATATGTCATCGAAATCAACCCGGTCGGCAGCCGCCATGTTGTTTGGCGCGAAAGCTAACAACAATTATGTTTTCACCAAAACTCGCTTATTTATCTTAACACATTACTGGCAGATCATTATTTATTTAGACTTTTTGTTTCTTTTGTTTATTTTTTATATTCTGCAGCTAGGTTACTCTGTATTTTATACGTCCCTCATGAACAAGGTAAGCAGAAGTTGTACTCTCATGGAATGAGGTAAACATGCAAGTCATCGCTGCGCCGGAGTGTGCATGCCAGTTTGTTGTGATCGACAGCTACAATTAATATGACATTAAGCGAAACAAAATATAATATACACTGCGTATCCATTTTCAGTCAGCTTCACTTCATTTCGAGGCGTAAGTAGACGCAATATGATTGTGAATTCTGTGAATAATACGAACAGAAGTTATAATCATCGGTAGCTGTCAGTTGTCTTGTGGTCTGAGTTGGGTATATTTGACTGTTTTCGTAAAAATTATTAGAGACAATCGATTATGAAATTTGCAATCGATTGTCGCGTCGGAAAAGGGTAACCAATCAATTTTCGATTAAAAGTCACATTGTTCCGAACCAAACAATACCCAAGCATGTAACTTTCCTTCATAAATCTCTTATTATCAAGTTTTTAAATTAGCAGGGTGATAAAAATATATAATACCTGTTTAAATTGAAAATTTTATAGGACAACCACTAAGTTACAGTAATCAATCCTGCTCACAACTAGAGACAGGACAAGAGTGGTGGCAGATTCGGTGGTGAGATATGGTCGGATATGTCCAATAGTACGCAACTGAGCAAAGCAGCTCTGGACTAGATGGAAACGTGATCATCCAGTGACACATCTGAGTCGATAATCACACCAAGGTCTTTGACCTTGTCAGCGATTTGGATGTTTGTATTATCATACCTAAAACATGTAAGACCACACTGTGATCTCCTTTTCAACAAATATCTCCACTCTTACTGGTCACAAGTTGAACACAGGATTTAACAAGTTGGATAAGTCAAAGGTGCTTGGAATAATATGACAAATAAAAAGGAATACTAACTGGATTTTCTGGAATATTGATATCAACTTCTCCAGTGCACTTCATACATGTGAAGAAATAACCAAAGTTGTCATTTATGCGATGAATTAGTTCTTTGAGAGGTCCCAGCCAGTTCCGCTTAGCCTCCTCGATTTCATGGTGGTGATTATCACGTTCTCTTGTTCGTTTCTCAAGATCGCATTGCAGGCGATGTATTTCTTTCTTGCGTTGCTGGAACTCCCTCACAACCTGAAACAGAACTCTCAATATCAGTACTTGAAGCTGTAGCTCTGAGCTTTAAGGGGAAGTGTACATGAATAAATCACATTTATTCTTATGTTAAACAAAATGAAATTTTTTTTAATTAGTTAATATCAATGCTTGAAAATATAAACTCATTTGTCTTACAATGAAAATATAACCCTCTATATAAGTGAGTGAGTGAGTGAGTTTGGATTTACGCTGCTTTTAGCAATATTCCAGCAATATCAGTTCCAGTTATATCAATATAAGTACTGAAATGTTATGCCATTATGAGTTCTTTGTGTGCCAAACAAAACAGGCCAGAGTTACCGCCCTATGATTATGTCGTAATTGGTGCCACTTGATTTTGACTGGTCTCCTGTCTATAGAGAGCAAAAGACATAAATACTGACATTAGTGACGTGAAAAAAGTATGTAAAAATACGAAAGAAGCATTAGAACTGAAATGTAATCAGCAAGATAGAAATGATCGTGTGTATTTTTATTCATAACCTCACCTCAATGAAAATATCAAATATGTATAACAATGTTGACATACGTATGACATCACTATCGGGAAGTGACTTTCTCATGACCTGTTCACCGGCACGAGTACGCAGGATATTTGGACTGAAACTTTCGTTGTTTCAAGCAATGTATATGCATAAATGTGACATGTAAGTAGTCTCAAACATTCTGGTAATCTGCTGGTTGTTCTATTCTTTTTGTATTGATTGTGACCAAGGGAAATAGTCAGAAATGAGAAGTACCGTCATCGTTGTGTGTGAGTTTGCGTCAGTCATGGTGTCACACTGTAAGAAACTAATATAATATTTTGTGTTAAATCTAGGAAATCATTGGAATTTACCTATGTTTATTTAACTATCTCTTGCTACGATACCTTTCCCATGTATGTTCTACAACTTATGAGCAAGTGTATGTAACGAGTAGGTGAATGGATACACAGTGTAAAATCTGAGATTGAAATATAAACAAGTGGTTCTTTCCCAGCGGTGACACCTGATATATTTCCTTAGATTTCACTGAGACACTTGGTATTGGTGACAAAGACCAGTTGTCAATATATTTTGAACTGTATGAGGAATTCAGGTATTAGTGTAAGGAAGATGGTTTTGAATTATAGTATTGATGTTATGGGTGAAACAAAACCAACATACGAGTGACGTGATTTTATAAACAGTCTGCAATATGGTTGCATGAAAGATCACTTTGACGTTGTGTTTGCGTATTTTTCAAACATTCTCAGCGATTCTACGATGTTTCAGAATGAGCATTGGTGATTCGATCAAACAATAACAAAAAATACCGGTGAACACAATGATACGTTTTATTAAAAAAGACAAAAAATCAATTCTCCCAGAGTAGTATTACAATGGGGTTCCTGCCTCAGGTTCGCTGGTGGTTGAATTGAAATGTGTTTCCCTCTCCAGCAGGCATGAAAAATTGGTGTTAAATGTTTGTGCGCACGTGTGTTTTCATGGTGGAAGTGTTTATTTTTATTTTGGGGATGGGTGGGGTGGGGTGGGGGTGTTTTAAGGGGGTATTTTTTACATGTAGCCGTAATATTGATATATGTAATACCTTTCATTGGATGTGTCTTTATTGGTTTTGAATGGGACTTGAACTTGAATGCGTTGCTAAGCTAAACAATATGGCTACCCAACCTAACAACGGTGGCCCTACCAAGACCGCCCTTGCTAAGCTAAACAACATGGCTGCCAGCTTGGAAACGGTGGCCCTACCAGGAACACCATTGCTAAGCTATACAAAATGGCTGCCAGGTTGGCAACGGTTGCCCTACCAGGACCGTCGTTGCTAAGCTAAACAACATGGCTGCCAGCTTGGCAACGGTGGCCCTACCAGGACCACTGTTACTAAGCTAAACAACATGGCTGCCAGCTTGGAAACAGCGGCCCTACCAGGACTGCCGTTACTAAGTTAAACAAGATGGCTGCCTAACCTAACAACGGTGGCCCTACCAGGACCGCCGTTACTAAGCTATCGCCCAACCTAGTAACGGTGTGCCGACCAGGCGCGCCGTTGCTAAGCGGTCGCCCAACCTAGCAACGCCTGATAGCGTTGAGACCGGGAGGTAGCTGTTTCACTATTTTTTCCATAAATATGTCGGATATTAGTGAACCGTCCATGTAGGATAAATGAGACTAAACAAACTAACTACATTAGTATTAGCTACCAGACTCAACAATCCGTTTATGTAGGAATGAGAGTAAACAACAAAATGACTATATTAGTTAGCCTGCTGCCAGAATCGAGCTGTATAACAATTTGTTACCAGTAACTATAAATTCCTTTCCTGCGTTGATAAATCTCCGAAAAGGAAAGACCCAGTGCCCTAAAACGAGGATATTTACCTAATAATCTGGAAATTTCCCGTAGTATACGGGCATACCTGTGATCAATGCCGATTTTTTCTTTAAGCCAGTTTTTCCATGGACTGTCGACTTTGCCATTTATTGTGTCTGTGTTGTGCATTTCAAATGCTGTATTCAACCATTCCCCATAATCAAGGGCAGCAGATAGAGAATATGAATTGTGTTTTGTCAGCAAATAATAACCTGATTTCAGGTTGTTTACTATGCCTTCCAGGCTTGTAAAAACACCCACCTCGGACAAGGTAGGACAGCTGACTGTATTCAATGATTTAAAACTTTTGGTTCAATAGGTATGAAGTTCTTGACCTGTTAGGATTTTTTACTTATTTTTTTACTCTCAAGAAGTGATTTTAAATCTCCCTTTGGTTTTTCCGGCATAATTCTTCCCTCACGGCCCTCCTGTTCAAGCCCGTCAATAAATAATATCATTTCTTGGTAATATTGTCAATACGAGCTCATAAGATTTTGTTGTTCTTCATTCCAATAACCTGGTTCATTATCCGACATATTTATGGAAAAAATAGTGAAACACCTACCTCCCGGTCTTGACGCTGCTGTTGTACAAAATGGTGACTGTCTGGCTATCTGGAATGTTCAGAGTCCACGTGACACTGGGAATACACATACCACGTCACCAGGGACTTGTTAATTGTAAAATCTGTGCCCAGCTGTCGCCTGGCTGTTTAGGGTTGGATTGACCAATGAATTTTACATGCTGCAACTTTAGAAACAGAGCTAAAGCATGTAAATATCTAGAAAACAATTTATCGTTAATCTTTTATGAGATCTTTGTTCTTGGTAAGGAAGGTTTGAATGATCTGTTGTCAGCCATGATCTATGAACTCTTTTTTCTCCTCTTCGCTGATGTCAACGGTTTTTCTAGACTTGGTTCGAATCTCCTGTTTCATTTGGTGATATTTGGCGATTTCCGACATCACCAGACGAAACTCTTCCTCGGAGATTTTGCTATCAGAGATTGCTGTCGAGATATGATCATCGATCGTGTTTAACTTCGCTTCAGCTGGAACCCTGATTTCATCGTGTTTTAATGCTTTACGTTGCAGACGACATGAAATGAATTTAAGGGTTACTCCTACCAGTCCCGATACCCCAGCTGCTATTTCTAACCCGAGGACGACGGGGGGTGGCTATAATGGTTGATAATAAGCCGATGCCAGCCGCGCCAAGTCCCATGCTGGCTGCCATCAAGGCAGTGTCTACACCGTCCAAAGCATTCATTGCCCTATGGTATTTTTTGCGTAATCTGATCTGCACGTCGCGTTCTTGTTCCAGTTGACGTCTGATCTCGCTGATTTGTCGCAAACAAAAACCATCCGCGGTTTCGAGAGGTTGGGTCACTTCATCCATGGCTGGATACAATCCCATCTCGAGTATAATACATAAGTTAGGAAATAAGTTTTAATTGGTTCTCCGTCAATCGTTGATGAATATACTTTAAGCTGATGAAGTACATATTAATGGCATGGAATATAATGTTAGGCTCCCAAAAAACCATGACCCCTCGAGGCTTGTGGTGGGGACTCTTCCAGGTTGTATATAAATACAACAACGTTGATATTGATGGTGATCATGCCAGGGTATTTTTAATCCCACCAGAATGCTAATATCTACTCCGGGGGGCATCTCCAAGAAAACTTCAATAATAAGGGTAGAACCTAGTATCACAGTGACCCGCGAGTGTGGGCTTTCATTATATTTTTTTAAATACATCCATTTATGTTTGGTTTCCGGACAGGTGACTATCATACTACCCGTTTGATCTGGTTATGTTGATACGTACATTCCCTTTTCTTCAACCGGAATAAAAACTATCCAGTTGAACCCCCTTGTTTTTTAGTTCGATGACATTATTATCCTCATCCATGACAAGATAGGGGTAGGTAAGGACAAGATTGATGATCCAGTTCAGTTGAGATTCGATGATCACTTCTTGTCGTTGGTACACATTGTTTTGTAAGTGCAATACATATAAGGCGTCTTCCATACCCGGTTGATCGAATCTTCAGGTAGCCTGTGAACTCAGGTTTGAAACGTCACCCATGGTTATACTGGTATTATGGAAGAGCCTACAATTGGTTTTCCGACAATTTCTCATGTGTAAACTTTAAGCTGATGAGATGGATTTTGGGAGGTAAAAATGCGTAATCTTTTTCTCCAAATTAATTGTCACCTTGTTGAGACTTCCGTAAGCGTTGACGTCTTTCTGTATATAAATCACGCAAACATGATTTTGATGTTTTTGACGGAGTTTGACTCCCGGTAATAGGTCAACATCTTGGTCAGGGGAGGCCTCCCCGAGAAAGACTTTGATATAAAGCGTCGAATTGGGTGGAATCCCTTATACGACATTTGACACGTCTTCTAATTCAAGCACCAACTGTCAACTCGTATTCTGGCTATCCTGGTCGATTCGCTAGTAAATGACATACTTTTCTGGGGATGAGGATCACAAGCAGACTCCTTCTTTGCGAGGGGACGTAAGCCGCGATGAGAATCCCCTTATTGAGGACTTTCGTTAAATAATGATCCTTCACCTCCGCAAACACGTAAGGTGAAACGAGGGTGATATCG